TAAGCATCAGATTAAAACTTGTAAATTGACTCGCTTTTCCTGTGTGTCGAGTACACGTTCGCTGTGCACTAACTGTGTTCTTGCTTACGTAGCTGGGAGAAGGCTACTAGTGCTCGTGGCGTCCAATCTGTGCTGTGATCGTACTCGTGAGGCTAGACGAATAGTGTGGCCGTTGAGGTACGTGTGTTCCTCGTGTGATATCTTGTTGTGTGTATATTGTGATCAAACGAGATCCAGATAGCTAAATTTGTCTACTTCCCCAGTTGGGGTGAGACTGGGCTAACCCATTCTTGTAATAGCATTTTACACTTTGAAGGTGCAAAACGCATACCGGACATGGACACACTAGCACTTATATTACCCAGAAAAGCTTGCAACTTACCTGCATCTTCACTTAGTAGCAAACTGTCGTCTGCATACTCCAGATCAGACAGCCTGCACCTAGAACTAAATCGATACTGCCAGTCTCGCACGAGAATAGAGTCTTTTCAAGAATTGAATCTCTCGCGAAGTCAAATAGAAACGGAGAGAGAGGGCAACCCTGTCGAACACCAATTTCCGTGGTGAACTGGGGTGAAAACGTGCCGTAAGCTCAGTCTCGATTTCGGCTATTAGTACAGAGGGATTGTAATATTGAAATAAACGCCTCGGCCACACCCTTCAGGGAAAGGCAGTGCCAGAGTTGAGAGCGGTTGATTGAGTCGAAAGCCGCTTTCAGGTCGAGGAAGATGGAAATGGTGGGTCTACGAAAGGAGTGTCTGTGCTCTAGGATTTGACGAAGAGTAAAGATGTGGTCGATACAACCTCGACCAGGTCTAAAACCAGCCTGGTTCTCACGTGTGCACTCTTCACGTGCAGCAGACAATCGACGGAGTATGATACCAGCGCGAATTTTAGAGACGACGTTGAATAAACTAATTCCTCAGTGGTTTTCAAAAGAGGAACTGTCACCTTTCTTGAAATCACCGATTCACACCATTCAGTTGGAGCCTCTTCTGTCTCCCACACTGAACCCAGGAGTTTTGTTAACTCTAAAACCAAGGCTGAACCTCCATCCTTAAAAACTGATGGGGACAGCCCGTCGAGGTCGGAAGACTTATGCCTTTTGAGAAAACTTATTTCCCGGGTAACCTCCATTTCAGATGGAGGACTGATGTCAACTGGCAGTATCTGCACAGTTGAACCGGGTGGGGGAGGTCTTGTGTCAAACGGGACCAGCTGAATTGTGCCTTAAAATGTTCTGCCCATCGTTCAAGACGACGTTCCTAAATTTGAATCACTGTGCCGTCAGATTCTTTAATTACCTCACGCCTGCTTTGCTTGGTCCAGTACTCCTAATTAAACGGAAAAGATTGCGACTATTACCGATAGCCGCAGCCTTCTACATCTCTCTACACTTCCCTACCCACCACTTCTCGCGGTCATTCCTCAAACTTGCGATGAGCTGGCGTTTAAGAGATTTGCGCGTTTTGTCGTATTTTGAATCCGAAGGAATGGCTCTGAGAGGGTCCAGCAAGCATCGCTTTCTAGTTGATCGTGCGCCAGAATTTGCCTTTGTTTTATCGACGTTTGGATCGCTTCCTTGATTGCCAACCAGTGTTCACTGAGTCCTCCGGCTGATGATTGATCTAAGAGGCGATCTGATAATTCCGCTTCGAAGGCCGATTTGCAACGATCGGTAATACTGTATTGCGGGCATCCGTTTTCGGCGGTTGCTTATCACGCGTAGGGAGAATCTCGCTCGTACTAGAGCCTGTGTCCACGGGTGTTGACCAATAGGAGCGACAGTTTTCAATGGATCCTCTCCAGCGGTGGCTGATGTGGTCGTTTTGAGTCCAGCGCTGTGAAGAAGTTGGCGGTCCCCATGTAAAGCGGTGCCGTTTGTTGTGCGAGAAGTTCGTGCTTCACAGAAACAATTCGTGGTCAGCACAAAGTTGGAGTAGGCGTTCTCCGTTTTCAGTCCTGTTGGCTGGGGTTGTACGCGAACCGCCAAGTAACCTCTATGATTCCTCCAGGGATCCCACTTGAGCATTGAAGTCTCCAGCGACTACCACACTGTCCGTTGACTGAGCACTTTGAAGCAGTTGAGAGAGGTCCTTGTNTACGCGGATACGACGAATAAGCACCAACGCTTCGTTCTGTTGCTGTTGGCGTGTACTGAACCATCCGGAAGTACAGCGCAAAGTCGGCTGTTAATCGAGATCCATTCGAGAAGTAAACGCTCGGCCTGGACACTTAGCGCAATTCTAACACCAGCAATACCGCGATCTTCGGATGCCGAATCGCCTGACACACGAAGAGTGGAGCGTGAGGATGAGGCTGGATCTCGCGAACGGAGGGGGACGACTAAAGTAGGGTCTTGTATGTGTGTTTCGGAGACACAGCATACGTCTAAATGAAAAGTTTCAAGGGTTCTAGCTAAGGCGGCTCGTTGACCGATCTGGTAGAGTGTGCGGACATTGAGTGCGGCTAAGTGGTAAGGAGATTTTGGTTTCAAAAATCTGATAGCTTCTGAGTGGTTGACCTCATTAGTTGAACGCTGAGTGATATGCGATGGGTCTCGTAAGCAAGAAGCACCTGGGAATATTCGGGATTGAGAAGAAGGACTAGACAGATGGGAAAGNGGTAAATCCAACGCGGGAGCGTGAACGAAGCACCTGTGTGGGAGCTTCTGGAGACCTGTCACGCAAGGCCATGGAATTTCGATTGATTGTGTTGTTCGCTGGTGCGTTGATTATCGGTCCGCTNACTGGGGACGTAATACAGCAAGTGGATACGTTTTGTTGTTTGGGCAGCTGCATCACGGATGGAGTATCATTTCGAATACAGAAGGTTTGGTTGGCATTTGCCAACTTGACACATCTGTGGCGCCGTCGCGACATCCGGCTGTCTGTAAACAGTCGAGTGTACGCTGCAGCAGTTCGGCCAGTTCCACTATATGGAGCAGAAACTTGACTATTAGGAAAACAAGATAAAGATAGACTGTCAGTGTTTGAACATCGCTGTCTACGCAGCACTGCACGAATCTGGTAGGGCAGCCGGACGAGCTGAGGTCAGGCGCAAAGTTCTAGGCATTCGCGGTCGTAAACTGAAGCAAGTGATCGACCTCCATAGATTACATTATTTATCTATTTATTCATTCAACACGTAACCAATTACAGAGAACTGGCAAATGTGCCACATGTGAACAGAAAGAAATCTGAAGAATGTGTTCATGGGTTGTGTGGGCATGTTACTTCCCGGTTGCCCTAGCCGAGGAAGGGGGTAGCTCTGGGGTCCCCACCCGAAGCCTTTGGCTAGAAAGCCAAACCTGTAAGACAACAGGACGGAGCTGAGTCCGAAGTTCATTGGGGGCCGGTGTTCAGTTCACTGGATTATACGCCCTTTGGACGGGGTCAAACGTCCAAGGTGCCCACTTGAGCCGGTGATCACTGCCGTGACCAGGAAGGTGTGCGTGTGGTTCTTACGCCTCCTTCTGGTTGGTTTGGAATTAGGGTTTTTAGCCAACTCCCCTAGGTGAACTGCTAATGTTTCACCAACCCGGTTATAGCCCCGGATGTCGGCTTTTCGTCCTCTCACTTTGGTGCGAAAACACCGCCACGAGAAGGCAGTGAGTAGGGTTTCCTCAGCAGAGGCTAGTTGAGACGCTTGGTCATATAGGAGCATTTCGAGAGGTGTAAGGAAATGGTGACCAGTTACAATCCCAGATACCCATCCCGACCGTACTGAGGCTTTCGAGGCAGATTACGTTGGTTGGGGTATGTATTACGCATGTCACCAAATAAGTTGCCACGGCAAGCGAGGTTTGCCCAGGCAGGTAGTGGGTGGAATAAAGTCCAGGGCGGTCAAGCCAAGATCTGGCATGAGGGTATCAAAACCCTAACCAGAAGTCTGGGTCACATTGGTCTCGTTAAGCTCCCTGGCTGGGTACCTCGGGATGGTCGTAACCGATGGTTAGAGATACTGAGTGTTGTAAACAGTGGCATCCGTGCATCTTCTCAATTTCTCTGCTTCATTAGTCCACTGAACTTTTTAATTCTCTCTTCGATCCTACTTTCAACCTTCCTGTTTTCCTTCTATTATTCACCCAAGTGGGCAGGTAAAGGACAGCAACCAAAAGCGTCGCACGGAAATCCATGCTTAATGGTTGTTCAAACTGAAACTTATGAGAGATGGTTTGTTGAGGCCAGAGTTCCACTTAGCACGACAACTTGTCACATTCATTCATTACTTCAGTCGCGTATTATGGAATATCCAGTTTTGTTCACAGTATTTCGCATGCATTTCTTTTTAAAGAGGAAAAGACGGAGAACACCAACTGGACGGACAAACCAGTATATTGAACAAGAAGCGGCGAATAAATTAGTCAGTCTAAATTTTCAAGAAAACCAGGTTAGCTTTGACAGCTGAATACCTTTCATTTATCGCACACATTTGTGTGATCAGCACCGGAAGGGGTTGACCCCATAGTGACGAAGATCTGGTGTTTAGTGATGGAAAACGGCATTCTACACCTCGACACACAAAGCAGCGAATCACCCAATGCCCCGTTGAGTTGGGCACAGTATAAAACTTAACAATGATTAGTCAAATAAGCATCATTTCATAGCGATGCCACGCAAAGCAGATCTTAGATTGTACAACTGATCAATTATTGCATAAAAAACATTTAGAATCCCCGACGGGGATGCAAAACTAACCAGATAAAAATCGAGTATCAAAAATTGTTGATGTACCTGCATGCAAACAACCATATAATGTTTTTTCTATTCAATATACTTCACTGAATGAGTTGATTTCAGGGAAAAGATTTGGCCCAGAGGCGATCTTGCCCTGGATTATGGGGTGGTCTTTGTATGAAACTAGATGGAAAATAACAGAAATCACCCTACTTACAGGGGTGGCGGACAACACGAATGTGTTGCAGAACATTATGACAGATTTTTTTTAGCAAAGGCTAACAAAACAATATATAGGGGGCGGAATGGTAAATTACTTTGGCCAAGGAGAGACCAATTGTCCCAGTGCCGCAACAGACGTCAAGTAAAACGCGCTCTCGTTGCTCGACTGGGTCTTGATTTTCCTCTGTGGATGAGTCTCGCGATTCAATGGCAAGCTGGATAATTTGTTCATACAGGAGTTCAGTGGCCAAAGTGTTGACTGGGAAAAGAAAAGGATATATAAGAAAACCCGATAAAAATATTATCAATGACATTACTCGCTTCGTCATAGGGCTTTTGTTTATTCCCTAAATTGCATAAACAAGGGCCGAAAAAGAAAGAAAACCTTTCGGAAGGTACTGGGTGTTTACAGGATTGCCGCTGACTAGTGCAACGTTCACCAGCAAAATTCTGTTGGCAATCTGGCATACGCGTGCGATTAGCTCACAAGATTACATGGTTTATCGATTGTATTTCATATCACGATAAAACGTGCATTTTGAAATATAAGGATCGCTAATTTGAACCAACGTGATGCATTTATCCAATGCAGTCTTAGGTAGCTACTGTCACTTTAATACGCTTATGTTTTCTGCGAGTAAGAGTAAGAGCAGGCCATTCTGGATACTAAAAGCCAATTACTGGATGCAGATTCCGTATAAAGGACCACGCTCAAAGCAGTAAAGTCGGGAATGGATTATTAATCGTTAGAATCCGACGGATACAATAAAGTACAACAGGCAGGGAGGTTCCTATAGCATACAAGTGTAAATTTAATAAAAATGTGATTGCGAGATGGAACAACGTGAAATTTTTGTTAAGTCAATTCAAATAAACGTCCACTATTGGAGAAAGGCAGGACCGTTTCAATACCAGCCTGAAGACGACTTCAACGTTTACAACAAAGGTAAAACAAACACAGATATTATCAAATTAATATCGAAGGCCTTCTAAAATACTTCGTACAAATAATGAGGGGAAGGCGGGTGGGGCGAGGTACAAATCTAACGTACAGTACTGAACGCTTTCTTAGAATAAGTCTCATAGCTAGTGTCAAAAAGTGACCTAAATTCGAGTGGGGAAAAGCACCATTGAGGAAACATCGCGAATGGTGTTTCTCAATGCTTTGACGCATACATGTTAGCACAACGGAAGCACTTGAACAAGTAAATTACTTTGGAAATGGTGTCAGTTCAGTGTCGATCAAAGCAGTGGCACCGTGATAATCGATTATAACAAGAATCAACGTGACCATTGCTTGTCGCAGCTAAATATACAAACAATGTTAATCGTATCTTGACTATTTTCTTTGGATTGAAATCTGCTCCGAGAGATAAGCGTCTAATTTGAGGCAAATTAATTCTTGTGAATTCACAAAACAACGAAAATAGCAAAGCTCGATGGTTTGAGAATATCCTGTAGAGAGCTTACTGTCAAAGACACCAAGAAAAATAAACAAATTAAAGCAACTAGCAAACAGACTCACCTTGAAAGAAAGCATTCAATGAAATTCGAAACTTCAAACCGCAACAAAGTTCGACTATATGCTTTATTTTGCGAAAGGGAATAAACATAACACGCAAGGGCATGTGAGCAAGTTGAAAGCAGAAAAAATTAATTTGTATCGTCAGAAGTGACAACAATGGTTGACGCCAATGGCCATTGGGTCATCAGAAAATAATGCGTGATCAACTATTTGCTCCCTAAATATATTTCATTATGATGAATGACAGAGTGAATCCCATAGGGACCTACTAGTTTCTGAATGGGATTTTATGACTTTGACCACGGGAAATAAGCAGGAAAAACCATATCGTTTCTAGAGATATGAGATCACATTGAGCAGAGCTATAGCAAGGCGTTCTATGGAAAAAGATGTGTGAAAGAAATAGAACGAGGTTAAAAGATGATACCTAATGACAGGACAATAAGAGCAACGGTGAGTAAAGTCGCTTGCTTTGGTGTGTTACCGCATCAGACCAAAGCAGACAGTAACGTGCTAAGATCTACTTATTTGGCTAATATCGAAAAAAACAAGAAAATTTTCAAGACAGCCGATACCGAAATAAGAATGAGTAAACTTCTATTTTACTCAATAAGAATTCACAATTTCCACTGTTTTATGTGGCCACTTAAATAACGTCTATGACAGGGATACGTTACTTGATACCCGACTTAAATCTGAGCCGATCCTACCGTGGTCCCAAGATGTTTTCTAATCCAAGTACCACGTTCTGTGTAGCCAAAAACCAAAACTGAATGATGAGGCTTGATAGTAGTAGAGTATACCAATGCACCGACTTTCTAGTAAAAATATGCACTAAAAACCCGCACCCAAATATAAACAAAACACTTAGAGAATGAACTACCTAGGAGCATAAAAACTTACGTCTTTCCCATGTAAAAGGCGTGTGTTGGTTGAATCGAACCTTTCCGAAGTGCTAAAAAGTGAAAATAAACAATGAACATTGTGATACTGGAAAGAATGAAATACACCGAATTCAGTTGATCATCGCTGGTTGGATGGACTGGGTATATAAGATGAGAATCAGCACGGTCAATTACAGAAGAACAAAAAACACGCAAGTCCTTTTCTCGATCATTTGTTTGGAGAACAAAATATCGATGCAACAGGTAAGCATTTTGCATTAACTTCAAACGGCTACGCCAATGGATTCATTTCACTGGAAACAACAGAGCAACTTTCGACGCGAATGCCGTGATACAATAAATGGAAAACCAGCTGAAGAAGTATGTCCGGTGAGAATGACTGTCTTCAACAAATGTCGCAGGCTGGAATAACAGGTATCAAAGTGTGTCCGGTAATTGGGAGTTTTAAGTAGGCCCAAAAATCGCGAATGGAATGATAAAAAGCAAGGAGACGACCATGTATAAGGAAAAACCGCTTTCCCGAAAAATGTAGGATTTCATCCGATTCAATATCCCACATGTGAGTATAACCTAAGGTAACTATGCAACTAATGTCCATGTGTTTTGCCTGTGTGAGTGCTGCTTGCCTTGGTTTCTTTATAAACCGGAAAACGACGTGAGGATGCATATCTTGTACTGATTACCCATAAGGAACATATGAAAAGCAGTTTCTCCTGATGAGTGATGTTTGTATCGCAACTACACTGAAAACTTCCTGAGAGAACACCGATTGTGAACCCATGTACCACAAAATCCAGTTTCTTCATTGATGCATGCAATCAACGAAATAGTCGAGCCAGCCTTTTCATTTCCAGTTGCTTCGTTTATCACACTACACATTGGATTATACTCTGTGCATTTTAAATAATGACCACAAGAGGTTTCAAACTAAACGTGTATTTCTTACTTGTGGTGGACAGTATACAAGTACGAGCTGTGCAATGTTTGTTTCCATGAATCAGCAACAGCTTGTGAGACTAGCTGACTAGTAACAATGCGAGAGGAAACGATGGGGACAGTAAACATTGATCCTGGTTTACCATAACCGAACGTGCAATGAGACTTGTAAAACGTACAAGGCGAAAACGTCACCACAGGCTTGAAAATAAAATGATGGTGTTCATCGGAAAGACTGACTGACGTTAAACTGTGGATTGTAGTATCATCTTACCCAAAGACCCTGAATAACTACATCAAACAAAAATCAGACCAAGCGCGTCTTGAAATTACTGTGACCAAGACAGGAAAGTCGCGCTATCTTGTGCAATCTCAGAAGCGCTCGAATAATTGAGGCTACCGCGAGTTCATTCGCTGATCAATGCAGATAACGGGAAAGGGGAGCACGGTGTCCCTCGGGTGTAGCTATTGCTTCTACATGTTTGAGTTTTCAACTATTAGAAAGTCGACTAGAATATTCTATCACTCAATCATCGGCAGAAATGAGGTTTTCCAGTAAACGTACCAGTACATCAGTCTCCACAACCACTCAGTATTACTGTACAATTTGAAACATCGTTTGCCAAACGAAGATAGTTTTACCTCATGAGATGTGTGCGATTGTTTGACAGCATTTTGTCTATATATTTTACTAGCTTCAGGACCAACATTAGGCTGGCGCAATAACAATCACAATGTGGATACGAGTTTTTGACTGTAAACGGGGAAAATGAGGAGAACACAGTTTACAATGTTTAATGAGTGATCATTTGGTTTTCCTCGAATATTCAGCGGCTTTTAGGGGGAATGGAATTTCAACAGAAGATTGATCAACCAACGAGTCGCTGGCCTCCACTCTGTGCACCTCTTAGCATATCTAATCAACGACAGTCATCATACTTTCGGCCCCAACCGAGGCAATAGTGCATGTAATATTTTCACACTTCGACGTTAAGCCATGCTCTGACGGTCGCATCGCTACCTCCGGCCTTGTCCTAACCACTGCGAAAAAAACGCGGACAAGCAGACGATGGGCAGGTGGTATATGCAAAACATGAACAACCCACTGGGCACGACAAAGAGCAATCTCGCCATTTAGTCAGAGAAGTTCACAATAGCTTGCCCAAAATTATCAGCAAACACAAGAACCGTTTCGAAAACATTGATGGTCCAATGGGAAAGTGATTTAGTATTCTCAGAGTAGAGAGCCCAGGTATTGCAAACGTAAAGTTAAACGCACTAGACCGTGATATCTGCCTAGCTCTTGAAGGAAGGTCGGATGAAATAGCTACTCCGCAGGTTGCTGAAGGCTACTATAGCTTTCACTATTTGTAACCTGATCTCTTTCTGAATATCGTCTACAACTGTGACTAAGCTCATAAATAACTAAGAGCTTTCTACTTTCTCTAGCTGATCACTACACAGTGTGAATGCAAACATGCTCCTACCAGTGTGGAGCGAGTATGTAGCATTTAGATGGTGCAAAGCATATACATTTGGCAAACAAAGACACGGTTAGAAATAAAAAGGAGATATAAAGCCTTGTTTTAAATTTGCTGCATCGCATAATGCTGATAGTTCTAATGCGATAAAAGAGTGGGATGATGACAGAGTTGAAAATTGAATCAAAATAAAAAGAAAGAGAATTAGATTATAAGAAGGAAAGCTTATCTGAAATACATACCTTTTACGTGTAGATATGTACAATGAAGTGAGTTTCACTGTGTTTCCTGGTCCATCCCCGAAAAACCAAGCGCAAAGAGCATCCGAAAGATGGGCTACCGCGTTCTAGTAAACGTTTCAAAAAACAGAGACAGCGGACGATAAAGAGGCCAATCAGGAACTAATACTAACCAATTGGTTTATGAGTTATCGTAGAAGATACATGAGTTAATTACATCGTAAATTAGTTGATTATTACTTAACTATCCAGGAAGTGGTTATGCTTCAGTTCGAAATCTTTTGTCGAGTAATGCTCGAACTGAACCGCAGTCATCCTCGATGGGGATAAGTAAAAATAAAATTACCAATTTTAATTGTTCATATATATACATATATAACATGTTATAAATTCATATGAAAATTAATAACGGATGGAGATGAGGGTTGATAATCGGGTCAAATCAAAAGCAAACAGTTACAGCGGAACGAGACAACGAGGATAACAATGGTTTTGGTTAGTTCACTTTTTTATATTTTCTGTGTTAGTTTATCGTTTCTACGGGGCATGGGAGGTTAGCAAACAGACCGCACAGCATTCGGGCTACTGACTTCTATTCTGGGCCATAACTTTCAGAATCTCTAACAAACGAAGATCCTCGTCTCTTGAGTCCGGACCTGTAAGGCAGGCTGCACCAACCAAAGCCGATATCGCTAAGCCACATCATGATTTGATCGCCCAGAAGTTTCATCCAGCATGTCCGAAGAGAGCATGGAAGGATAAACGATGGGCACGCATACGCAAAATGTGACCAAACCATTGGAGGCGGTGTACAGCGACTGCTTCTTTTGGAGAACGACTATCCGCATACAACATAAGACGACGAACCTCGTCATTGCTGAGCCGATGTTGCCACCCAACATGAGAAATGCTTCAGGAACATCAGCAGGTTACAATATCTTAAGCATATGCACAGTGAAACTGTCTGAACAGCTGCTCGGTAGTCGAGTTAGTAGTATGTTTACGTTCTTATTGTGAGGTCCGGAGTTCGAACCTCGTTTGGGTCTATAAATTAACATTGCTGGTGAGACCGAACTGAGTGGAAACAACTTTAGGGTGGTGCCTCTCATCGTCTCAGTACACACTTCGTTGGCTCGAAGAAGTTCGCTAACCAAAACTTTCACTAATTTTATGGAACTTTTAGATGACTGTTCTCAGTGACTTGGGTAGCAAATAATGATTTCGAATGCTTAATGCTCAGTTCAGTTTACAACCATTAATCATGCACTTTCGTGCGACAGTTTTGGTTGCCGTCTTTTGGTGCACCATTTGGATAAAAGAGCAGAATGATAATTGGGATGTAGAAAGCAAATTCAAGCGGAAGATGGAGGATTCATATAGAATGGTGTTAGGGAATAATGAGTGGATGCACGGGCGCCACTGTTTGCGACACCCAGTCATATTGTGATGGAAGGTGGTACAAAGAGGGCCCCGGCTGGCGAACGAATCAAGAACGGGACCCATCCAACCAGACGCGCAGACGTAGCGGCTGAAAGTACTTCGAGAGACAATGTTGACTACTACCCGAAACGAACGAATCGACAATTACAGCCCGACAGACGATCCGCAACTAGCCAGAAAGATATACACCGAATGTCACTACGTCGGAGCTGTCGATCAACGTATCTCGCACTACGATCGGGTCAAACCAGCCGGAGCGGCACGCAGAAGAAGAGGCAACGTACGCGCCAAGTGCGGACGAAAACCAGCAGGGATTGATCAACAGAAAGAAGCATGAATCATGCTGGCGACGGCACCACTGTAGTGAGAAGGCGAGCTGGCTGGGAAAACATTTATTGATCCAATTCAAAAACAACCGGTGTACACGTTCAATTATATACATTCAATTCTTAACCGCGCGGCAGGATGATTCATGCCTCTTTCTGTTGGTCAATCCATGTTGGTTTTTGTCAGCACTTGACAAGTACGTTGCCTCTTCTTCTGCGTGCCGTTCCGGCTGGTTTGACCCGATCGTAGTGCGAGATACGTTGATCGACAGCTCCGACGTAGTGACATTCGGTGTATATCTTTCTGGCTAGCTGTGGATCGTCTGTCAGGCTGTAATTGTCGATTCGTTCGTTTCGGGTAGTAGTCAACGTCTGCGTGTCTGGTTGGATGGGTCCCGTTCTTGATTCGTTCGCTAGCCGGGGTCCTCTTTGTATCACCTTCTATCACAATATCATATATACTCACACTTTAACAACATGCACAATCCACACCTCATCTAAGTAATCATTCCTTAGGGAGGAACTTAATTGATATTTGTCGAGTGAAAGCTTATCAGTAATGCAGATCCATCGGGACATCTTGAAATCTGAACTCCGAGACCCTAACATAGAAGGTGCTCTTTTTAGCTATGCGCCAACCTGACCCCAAGAAAACTAGCCAGGATTAACGATTCTATAGGGTATTCAGACATCGTAGTCAACGGCGATCACTCAGTTGTTGACCGGACATCAACAATTACAGATATAGCTGTTTCTCTCTAGATTCTAACCCGAAAGCTTCCCATCGCATCAGGTCCTCTATGTATTTTTGTATACATGTCCACACATTAATCTGCCGGGCTATGTTTTAAAATTCGCATTTATTTCACAGTCACTTACGATTGCTTCTTTGTGCACTATTTTCAGTTCGTTCAAGCAGCCACGCGCTCGAGAAGTAATAGAAAAAAAATAGAATTCACCGGTAAACTTGAAGGTGTTCGAAGGGGCTGATTGGAAAACAACTGTATGCGGACTCAGATTTCATTTATTCAAACCTTCGACTAGGCATGTCGTCTTCAATAAAGACGCCAGTGATGTTTTAACGGGCGTGTTTAGCTCGTTGATGATTTCTAACTAGAATTTTATAACCTATTGTTACCCCATGATTTCTAAATAAAAAGGGAGAAACAAAATCAATACCAGCTAAATAACGTTTGATTCAGGTGAACAGTACGTTGCCCGTCCTGCTTGATTCAAATACTTGTCAAACTTATCACGGCATAAATATATTTGTAAAAAAAGTAAATTAGTTCGTGGTCGGTTCGGGAGCAATGTGCTTTGTGACTGCCTATGCAAAACCAGGGGCTGCCCTACCTCGTCCAGATTTCGAACATGCACATCCAGCAAAAGCAGACGATCTTCCAACCGCGTCTCGCGTACCAGAACTTGGCGCCAATGACCCTCATGCGAAATTGGATCATAGGTTGTTAAACTCTTGTGTGGTTCACAGGGCGAATACTGATTAATGAATTCCTGTAGACTGTTTAGCATAGCTACTGTGGCTGGCGGGAGAATGGTTAAGTGGCGATACGAGCCGACTGCGATCAATCCATCACGGTATTTGGTGAAACGAAATCCAATAACGGGACCTGAGAGGAATCAAAATAGACAGGAGAGTCTCTAATGCCAAAGTGACGTGTGACATGGTTTTTACTGTAGAAAACTACACAATAATTGCAAATGTGCATTTACTTAGAATCCATACTTCAACAGATTCCTTCTTATTGCAGGATATATTTCAGTTTATAAAACCATTACCATAAATTATCCTGCAGGGGATTTGGCTAATTTTTTATGGCTAACCTCTGGGATAAACGTGTAGAGAAAAGACGAGAATGTTGATAGCAATGTCAAAGTGAAGGCAGGGGGTAAAAGCAGACTGAGTTTGGAATGATACTGAGTAGATGCACCAGTGTCATTTCTCCTATCTTTAACTTTACTCTTGTGTGATCAATAACAGATGGGGTAAACCCCATAGTGATGAGAACCTGCTATTCACTCATGAAAGCCGGAAACCTAAGAGCCGAGACTTGGATTCAAGAGCCATGTAAGGTAGCGCTAGGTTATGTGTGGTACTGAGCCGAACGACAGCGAAGTTGGGTAGCGATGGCGGGGTTGGAACCTCGAAACCTAGGGTCCAAAGCACGTCAGTCATAGCGGTTCAAACCATTAACCATGGGTATGACCTGCAAAACAACCAGACATGTCAAACGTCTCTAACCGTCCGTTACGAATAACCCAAGGCCTCCATCCAGGAGGCTTAACGCGACCCATGCGAGAAAGTCTCATAATCAGAGTTTTTATATCGTCATGCCCAGTCTCAGTTTGACTGCCGTTAACTTTTATCCGACCACTTCTTGCCTAGGGAAACATCGCACTAATGGAAAAGTATTAGGTGGTGTGCGTCACACATGCCTCAACCAACGTACTCTAGCGTGATCGACCACTTGCATTTGTGGGCCACCGCTAGCATGATAAGAAATGAGCAGCGAAGATGAGGATAAACCATATAAGGTTTCAGGAGAAAGTAAAAAAAAACTCACAAAACAGGGTTGCATAGAGTACAATATGAGTAAACCTAACACCAACTGGTCCGCATGCAAAATCCTGGATATTGTTGCGGACTCTATAGCTGATTGCGAACTTTTACAGCGCAATAGTTTCCCACATGCGAATCCAGTCGGAATGAGGTCTGAGCCAAGATTCTGTTGACATAAAACACGATCACTCTTCGAGGACAATAGGAATACCCTTTTAAACACATCAGCATATTCAAATGGGATTTTTCAAAAATGCAGAGACGAAAAAAGATCACATAAAGAGAGGTTGCGTCATCGGGTAAACGTTGTTTAAATTTAAGAAATGGTGACCAATGACCGAAGAGATGTTTTCGTGTTCTCACGCGTAATCTCTGAACCCCTGCCATGACGAGAAGTGCGAACCACACAATAAGATCAGAACAAAGACAACCAGATTTCTGGTAATTCACATGGACTAGAGCAAGAAGCGGTTAAATCACTTTACGAAGACTACCACGTTGGATATTTGGATAGATATAGTGCAAAAATTAACACAGATTTCGTGTGACAAAGTATTCACCTTTGCCCTCCAAGTCCTGTCCGATTGTCAGTTCCGATTTGTTTCGATAGCCCACGGTCATAGGCTAAATGGTGATAGAAACAAGATCACACAAGTGTGAAAATGCGCGGAATTTAAATGAAAGCAGTTTACTGCTAACCACGTTGGTTAGGACTCAAACAAACAACCGCGTTTCGGTTTAATAAGTTTTATCAAAATCAACGACTACCATTTTGCGTAAAGGTTCTCAAGGAATCATATTTTGAAAACGCAATGGAGGGCAGAACATTCCAGACAACGCAATTCATTGTATACAGACTAAATACAGTGCATAGAAATGTTGAAAAGCAATACAGGGCTATTTTAATGCGTAAAATCATATTATTCACAGGAGAACAAACCAGTGTTTACGGGACATCTAGTAACTCTTTGAGATCAGCAACAAACCCCACACAGCCATAAGAAGATATATTTTAGTTGAGAAACGGAATGGCATCAGTTCTCTGAATCGATCAGGTAGAACTTACAGAAGGAATAAGCTCAACCAATGGGCAAACAGGCGGTTCTTTGAGGCCCTCCGTCTTTCTGTAGAAACATACATGAGAATGTCATTTATTAATATGGAATTTAATTTATGATTAATAGAAAAATGAATTAAGAGTGAACACAGCAAGAATAGATGTGAACGAATAATTAATACTAGGGTTAGAATATATATATATATATATATATATATATATACAAATTGTA